GGAGGGCCTTAAGGCCATCTGCATGGGGAATGCAGGTGTAGAGGGACTGGACGTCCATGGTAAAGATGAGGTGTTGGGGACCGGGGAATTGGAAGTTCTGGAGGAGGTGGAGGGCGCGGGTGGTGTCACGGACATAGGTAGGGAGTTCCTGGACCAAGGGGGAGAAAATGGAGTCTAGATAGTTGGAGATCAGTTCGGTGGGGCAGGAGCAGGCGGAGACAATGGGTCGACCAGGGCATTCAGGTTTGTGGATTTTGGGAAGGAGATAGAAGCGGGCAGTGCGAGGTTGGGGAACGATGAGGTTGGAGGCCGTGGGTGGGAGGTCACCTGAGGTGATGAGGTTGTGGATGGTTTGCGAGATGATGGTTTGGTGCTCAGGGGTGGGGTCATGATCAAGGGGGCGGTAGGAGGTGGTGTCGGAGAGTTGGCGTCCGGCCTCGGCGATGTAGAGGTCAGTGCGCCATACTACAACTGCGCCTCCCTTGTCCGCGGGTTTTATGGTGAAGTTGGGATTGGAGCGGAGGGTTGCACGTTCTGCGGGGGAGAGGTTGGAGTGGGTGAGAGGGGTGGAGAGGTTGAGGCGATTGATGTCTCGACGGCAGTTGGAGATGAAGAGGTCGAGGGAGGGTAGGAGGCCTTGGGGTGGTGTCCAGGAGGAGGGGGTGTGTTGGAAGCGGGAGAAGGGGTCAGTAGACGGAGGGTGAGGTTCACGGTTAAAGAAGTAAGCGTGGAGGCGGAGGTGGCGGAAAAACTGCTCTATGTCCAAGCGTGAGCGGTATTCGTTGATCTGTGGGTGGAGGGGGACAAAGGTGAGCCCTTTACTGAGGACTGACCGTTCGTCCTCAGTAAGGGGTAGGTCTCGGATTCTCCAGCATCTGCAGTTCCTACTATCTCTCATGCAGGGACAGCTTGGGCAACATGACAAAATTGAAATAGGTAATTTTAGCGATGACACAGGCGTATAGTTGCCAGATCACCTGAACATTAAAACAGACATCAAGCGTGCAAAGATAATGAGACAATAGTTTTGGTTTTCCCGATATTTAATTGTAAGAAGTTACAATTGCCCAGTACTAATTGCCAGCCATGCAATAGTTAATCAAGCTGGGGGCGCAATGGGAGGTGGCGGCAATGGTGAGGTACAGCTAGATGTCATCAATATCCATGTGGAAAATGCTTTTGTTTCAGATGTTGCCCCTCAACTGCAACACGTGGATAAAAATATACATAGAAGCAAGGAGTGCTCCCGAGGGGAATATCAGATGTAATGGGTGTAGGGGTTGGAAGTAATGATTCTCCAGCTGCGATTAGAGAGACATGAATGGAAGCAGGCAAGTCCAATCCCAGCTACTGTAAAGTCAGCTGTTGGAAGTGTATAATGTGGATCAACTGTGTCAAACCATTGTAATTGCAGCTGAAGTTAGCACATACCATGGATTGTGATTGTGACCATAAAACTAAACCGTAAACTACAAAGTGGTGGTGATACCTGCTGAGTTTGTTGCATTTTGTCATTATGGATTTTTGTTGCCTCCTTGAAGTTTCTCTATTCAGCACCGTTGTTTGATTGTGGTTGGGAAAATATGACAAGTATTGACAGAGAAAGAATAACGGCAAGATTTCAAAAGGAAGTTCAATATCTCTGGCCCAAGTCAGAAAGGAAAGATGAAGATTACCTGTTGAGCCTCTTTGTTGTTCTTCCACCTGAGTAAAGCTCAGATTGATTGCAAACTGTATGTAAATCAATAATGAGAATATTGCAATTGCATTACAGGCAGGAGCTAAATAAATTGAAACTTTACCACACAAAGTTTGCAGAAGTAGGTTGACATTAGGAGCAAATATCTTTAGCTAGCGAAAACTAAAAGTGAGTCAACAAGGCAGGTTCTCTGGCACTACAATGTGGCAGTATTCAGTACTACCTATTCATAACAGTAGCTGTGAACATTTCGACCTCTCTACTGCCATGAAAATGAAACTGCTTATAGTTTATGAAAAACACAGCTGAGGAAAAATGATACTGACCTGAAACTTGCCTCTCACAGCCCGAAGTTTAATACATCGTACAGCACTGTTGTGAGCCTTGGAAGATTTCACTGGAAATTCCATGTTTCTGAGGTCATACAGGTTGACCTTTCCCCAGGAGCTTCCAATCAACAGAGCAGTCCCATCTGGTAGGAGCTCAAGTGCAGTTAGTGGACAATCTGCTCGAATACTGTACAATACACTGGAAATATAATAAATTAAGGCATTGGTGGAGGGGATGGTCGCACGAGAGATAAAACCTAGTACAGGATAATAATCCTCATGTCCAACATAAAGGCAAAATAATGAAAACTCAAGATTTGCTTAAGGTTAATTGATTTATTACCCTTTTGGTGTTTGCTTCTGCTTTAATTGTGTCAGCAAAGACTAATATCTGTATTTTGCTGACATTTATGAGACGCACTAGATAATCAATCACAAACATCATTAATCGCTGCTGTCAATAATGCAACAGCCATATCTGGAAATATAAGACGCACTTAATAGGCATAGATGAGCTGAACGAGTGGCATGTGGAATAGGTTATTTAAAATGTAAAACAAACTATTTTGAGGTAAAACAGGAAAAATAAATATACCTTAACTGTTAAACTTTTTGTTTAAAAAAAGGGAACAACAGCACACAACCCTTAGCTTTCAAATACAAAAGGTCAAAACATGTTAGCATAAGTAATGAAATCTTAACGAAGGTTTTAAATTCGCAAACTTATAATCAAAGAGAAAAGGGCAAATTTACACTAAACAACAGTTAAACTGTAGCTTTGGTACCAGAGTTTTAAACACCGTATTAGAGGAAGACATTAAAAGACATTTTTCCAACCTCGAGCGACTGCGTGGCATTTACACATTCTCCCCACGCCTGCGAGGGTTTCATCCGGGTGCTCAGTCCTCCCACAGTCCAAAGATGTGCAGGCTAGGTGGATTGACCATGCCAAATTGCCACAGTGTCCAGAGATGTGCAGTAGGTGGGTTAGCCATGAGAAATATACAGTTACAGGGAGTGGGTGGGGTGGGCAGAGCGGATGTGGGTGGGATGTTCTTCGGAGGATTGGTGTGGACTTGATGGACTGAGTGGTCTGTTTCTACACTGTAGGGATTCTAGGACTGCATGATAAAAATGGAAACAGCTGAGTTTAGATTCAGGAAGATATCAGGAATGAAAGGCTCCAGGTACACAAGATTAGTGGTTCAAGTTTCTCATACTACAGCTGAGGAAGTGATTTGATGGAGATCTTCAAGATTATTGAAGGTAAATAATAAAACATTACAGAGCACAAATATAAATGGACACAAAAAGAATTAGAACCCAGAAGTCTCTGTCAGAAAATACTGTTGAAGAAAATTCCAAAACTTGATTAAAAGGGAATAAGACAGCAGCTGGTAAAAACTGCAATATTAAAACATGAGCAGTAAGGAGGAGAATGGAATTAGACAAGATGATGGAGAAAAAGAATTGTATGAATACAAAAGCAAAATGCTGGAGATGCTAGAACCTTGAAATAAAGAACAGAAAATGTTGAAGATACACAAGCTGTACCTGTGGGGATAAAGAGACTTAACCCTTCAGATCAATGACCCTTCAACAAAATGGAAAAACCTAGCAATGCGATAGATATTAAGTGCAGAGCCAGGTGAAAGGATGAGGATGAAGGAGAACAAAAAGGAATATTTATCATAGATTGGAAGACAAAAGAAGTTAAATAACAAAAAGCATAATAATGGAATGCAAACGACCATGGTAATGGCAGATGGGAACTGTCTAGCACACCTAATTCTATTTGAACATTTATTTAGGGGAGAGATTTGAGAAATATATACGAGTAATCGCACCTCCAGCTGTGCTCTGCTGTCTAAGCAATAAATCACGCTGGTCTACACCTTTACAGGCTTAACTTGTAAATTCAGGTGTCAATTGGATGCATGCTGGAAGGTAATTTTGTTCCAGAGATAGTTACTATTAGATTGAGATTAGCCAAGGTGCAACAAGCTCAAAAATAACACAAGCTACCTATTTCATCATTTTTGTGTAGCTTCCTCCATGCACTAAGAACGAATGGGCCACTGTAAAAGGAACTTGGACAAACTGAGCTCTGCAGACATTAGGCAAAATCAATGTTTAGAAGCTCTCTAGGGTGCAGGTGCAAAAAAGAAAAAGGCATCAAATAAAACAATAATGGGAGCTCCGTGTTACACTTTTACAGCTGCTATGCTGCTGTTTGAGGTCAGGCAGAAATTGCTAATAGCAAACAATTAAAAAACAGATCTTACTAGTGAGATGCAAGATGGCACACCATAAACTGGCACTGTAACAATGCACCAAGCTGAGATTTTGTGCACACTGTGGCCACTTAATTTATTTCAGATCCAGAATATAATATTCTAACATTATTTCTTTGTTCAATCTAAAGTTTTCAATAGTTTTAAAAAGCTTATTCCAGTTGAGTCAAGCTCTTCTTAAAAAGTTTGTGGTCACGTAGTAAAGAAATCCCTTTTCTCAATTCCAGTCTATTAGAATAAACTACAGCACACATTTTCAAGCCATACTAGTGAGCATTTTCATTTTAAGCATTAAGTACAGGTCTTTTAGAAAGGTACAACATAAATTTCTGAGCTCTAACAGCATGAGTAATTTGGATCAACTTCAGTAGGTATGTAGCCATCAATAGAGAGTGCTGTTAATGAGCAATGGAGCACTGAGTGAGAGCTATTGAGCCTAAAACAGAATGAGAACTACCAGAAATCATTAGCCCAGGGATTATATTTCAGCTTCAACGCATTGTCATCTTAACTGAGTTTTCTCCCATTGCTGGATTCATCAACTGCTGTTCAGATTCTGGTTTTACTATTGAAGCAAAACAGCTTTAAAAAGAAAGATTTTGTCTAAATGACGACTTGATTTTGCATTAAGAAGCACCTATGGAATTATTGCTGGAAATTGAATACTTACGATTTGCTCCGAACATCAAAAGCTGAGATTTGCTTATCAAGGCCAACTGTGATAATCAATGGCTCAATCACTGGTGAAAAACAAAGCGCTGCCGCAGGGGCTTTGTGTACATGGTCAAAGCTATGTTGCATCTGTAGGCTGTTTATGTCCCATATTCTAAGACTGCCATCATCTCCAATGCTTCCCAACAGCGACCTTTGGAAGCAAGAGATCTTCAGGTCACGAAGGGGCTGAAATAAAAATCACAGAGCAGTTCACAAAAAAATCTATCACCTAAAAAGTAAATGATTTCATAACTTTCAATGGTGTCCCAAGAAATGTGTTCCTACGCCATCTGTTCAGATGAATAGGTTATGTACACGGCCTGGTCAACAGTATTTTGTTTCACAACTGCCACACAAAACACTTTACAAATTTTACTAAGAAAAAATATTTTCCCTGTTACCTGGCATTTTGACTGTGATTTTTCTGAGCTGCAAACAATTAGACGAAATTCTAAAGAGCCAGCTTTTAACTATAATTACACTACTTTAAGAGTTATTATCAATCCTTGCTAAATGTGTGGGAAGATTAGAAGAACACCGTCACCACACCCTCCCCACCCCACACTTGCATTTTATTTCACAACTTCCATACTTTCACCAAACTTATATCTGTCCCTTTCCAAATACCCATGCCTCTTTCCTAAGCTTGCTCACAAAACATCTTGCATCTATTGTGCATCTTTCATGACCTGATGCATCCCAGACCCCTTTATAGCCAATGAAGTGGTTTTAGAAGTGCAGACACTGTTCTGATATGGGAAATATGGCAGTCAATTTGCACATAGCAGGTTCAAACAAAGTAATAATGATCAGCTAATCTATTTTCATGATGCTGGTTGGGAGATAAATATTAGTCTGGGAACAACTCTATTCCTCTTCAATGTATTAACAATTCTTCTACACCGATCTCCAGTGCAAACAGTGCCGAGTTTAGCATCTTGTCTGAGAATGTGGTACTCCCTCAGCATTGCACTCTGTCTGATGAACTTCTGTACTCAATTCTATGGATGAGGACTTCAATCTACAATGCTCTAAACTCAATTGTGCTACTCACTGAACCACAGCTGAAACTAACATAGCATAATATGTCAGAAAATTCTGAGTGCACTGATAAGAAAGCACAATCCAAATGAAGTCCAACCACCAATCATGTTTTGCCATCCAAACTGTAAGAGTGATTTTAATCATAATCACTACTGATACACTTCAGTAAATTTTAAAAATGTCTGGCTGCATTGACATTTTGTTCCACCACTCTCCTGAAGGCAAGAACTTCTGTTGGTTATGATTTAACAATTCAGCAGCTCTTGAACAAATTCATTTTTAATGAGACAATAACTAAAGACACAGAGCTTTTCTTCATGAAGAAAGTTTAGCGATTTGTTCAGTCTCACAGCTCTCATTCAAAATTCCTAGTATCCTAGCTGTCCCTCACTTGTATGAGGTTATTTCAATCAATTTATTTAGATATGCTATGACACATCTGAGGCTGATGGACCTAGAAAATTAATAACCACTACCTATTTCTCTGAACAATAACACTAACATTAGTAAGGCTTAAGAAGGTTAATAAGATATCAACATTACATTGTTGGCTACTGTTCATGGGACCGCAAATATGAACAGGATAGACAGTAGAAGAGTAAGGAGTGTTAGACTACAGATGTAATTCAAGTGTGTGAACAAGAGGTAACTATCAAATTTACTCAAAATCAAACATTTTGGCAACTTTCAGCAAGGATCACTGGAAAGTTTGATCCAAACCTGACCCAGTAGGCTAAAAATCCTGCAAAAACTGATTTGTAAAATTGGAGACAGTTGATTATTGTCACTGAATGCAAAATACAATTTCACAAGTGCAAGCATAGATTATGCACAGTTACAGCTAAATAACCCAGAATCTCTACAACTGAAGTTTGAATGTGCTGTGAGGGAAAATAGCCAAATTGGAAACAGTCATTTGCAATTTGTCTTTGCCATCTTCAAAGCTGTTCATTGGAAACTGTAATTCAGCTGTGTTTCCCTTCCAGAGTGCAAGGATTTCAATGCTCTTTAACCATGTTACTGAGGGACATCTGCCCCAAAACACAAAGCTAGCACACATATTAAACTAGAGAGGGTTCAGAAAGATTTACCAGGACAGTGCCAGGAAGGGGGGTTTGAGATACAAAAATGGGACCTTTCCCATTGGAGCATAGGAGGTTGAAGGGTGACCCTTTTTGAGGTTTATATAATCATGAGGGGCACAGATAAGGTGAATGACAAGGGTCTCTTCCCTAGGGTGGGGAAGTTCAAAACTAGGGGGCATATTTTTGAGGTGAGATGAGAAAGATTTCAAAAAAGACATGAGGGGCAACTTTTTTTCGAAAGCACAGAGTGGTTTGCGTGTGAAATGAACTACCAGAGAAAGTGATGGTTATAGTAACAACATTTGGGTAAGTTCATGAATAGGAATGATTTGGAGAGACATGGCCAAGGGCAAGCAGGTGGGACTAGTTTAGTTTGGGAACAATGTCAGCATGGACTGATTGGGCCAAAGGGTCTGTTTCCATGCTGTATGACTCTGACTCCATGCAGCAGGTATTCAGGAAGGCTAATGGAATATTGGCACATATTTCAAGGGGGTTTCAAAAGGAAGGAAATTTTGCTGCAACTGTACAAAGTTCTAGGGAGACCACATCTATAATACTGGGAGAAATTCGATCCCCTTATTTAAGGGCAAAATATTTCATTGAAGGCAGTTCAGAGAAGATTCACTGGGATGATCCCTGGCGTGGAGGGATCATTTTATGAGCAAAGGTTAAACAGATTGGCTCACTTCTCATTAGAATTTAGAAGAATGATAGGTGATCTAATTGAAACATTTAGAATTTTTAAATGGGCTTGAGTGTAAATGCTGACAGTATGTTTCACCTCATGGGGGAGTCTAGGACCAGAGGGCATAGTCTCAGTGCAAAAGGGTGCCAGTTTAAGACTGAAAGGAGGAGGAATTTCATCTCAGAGGATTTTAAGTCTTTGCCAGAGGGATATGAAGGAAGAGTCCTTGCATATATTTAAGAATGCAATACATTCTTGATCAGTACTGGAAATCAAGGGTTACTAGAATGGGCCCGGAAAGTGGACGTTAGGAATGTTGGATCAGCCATGATCCTATTTAATGGGGGAGCAACATTGAGGGGTAGAACAGTTATTCCTGTATTTCTTTCTTATGTTCTTATGGACGCACTTTGGATGATCTAATGCAGGAGAGAAGTATGCAGTAAATGGCAGAACCCTTAGTAGTATCAACAGATGGATCTAGGCATACAGGTCCACAATTCCCTGAAAGTGGAAACACAAGTGGATAAGGTGGTCAAGATGGCATATGGCATGCTTGCCTTCATTGGTCAGGGCATAGAGTATAAAATTTGGCAAGTCATGTTGCCGCTGTTTTGAACCTTAGTTAGGCCACATTTGGAATACTGTGTACAGTTCTGGTCACCACACTACAAGGAGGATGTGGAGGTTTTGGACAGGGTACAGAAATGGTTTGCCAGGATGTTGCCTAGTTTGGAGGTATTAGACAGGAGGAAAGATTGGACAAACTTGGTTTGTTTTCACTTGAACAAAGGATGAGAGGTGCCCTGATAGCAGTTTACAAAATTATAAGGGACATGGATAGAATGGATAGTTGGAGTTGTTTTCCCCATTGTAGAAATGCCAATTACTAGGGGACATAGGTTTAAGGTAAAAGGGAGCAAGTTTAAAGGAAAGATGAGAGGCATATTTTTTTCCGACACAAAAGGATGGTAAATGCCTGGAATGCACTGCCAGAAGTAGTGGTGGAACTGGATATGATGGCAACGTTTAAGAGGCATCTTGACAGATATATTAGTAGGCAGGGATTTGAGGGATACAGACCGTATAGAGGCAAAAGTTTTTTAGTTTAGAAAAGGGATCACGTGTCAGCACAGTCTTGGTTGGCTGAAGGGCCTGTTCGTGTTCGTTAAATCTTGTTAATAACTCCAGAGCATAATTACAGACTTTTGATCTTCAAGTTGAGTGCACCAGACAGAAGTTTCCAATTCTTGAGTAGAACCAATTAATGAATTACATAAACAAGACAACAACATAATTTCTCATCGACAGGCACTGTTAGCAAACAACATGAATGAAAATAATCTACTCTATGGAAAACTTATTTGGAAAAAAGAGCTCTGTTATCACCTTGAATGACAACAAGAACAATGCACTTGAACAGCTGTGGGTTAATACAGGCTATCAGATTTATAAAGGGTAATGTATTTCAAGTTACATTGCATTTAAATGTTAAAGTTTGACACCTATGAGGTGTTGTTGTTACACCTGAAGGAATGACAGCAGGTAATCAAGTTATTTGCCAAGTTGTAGACCACAAAAGGATTTTAATTTTCTTCTTTAGAAAAGTTGTCGACACAGCAGAGTAGGAATTACTCTGCAAATTAGAAAAGCTAGTAGATGCCCCAAAAATAAAAGAAACCTTATAACATTCCAAGTATCAGAGCTCCTTCATGTGGCCATTGAAGGCACTGTACCTGTTGACTATGACAGTAAAACCTGGTGGGAGCTTCATCAGTCAGCATGCTGTGCAGAATTATGTCACCACTCAGTGACCCTGAGAGAATGCACTGGTCATCCCAATCAGTGGTGAGACAAGTTACTGCAGCCTTGTGACCCTGATCAGAAAGAAAAGGAGATTAAAAATAAAACACCCAACTACTTCTTGATCATGCACACCAATACCAGCCATGAGATTGTACATATGTCCCTAAAGAAGAAATCAATATTGCACCTGCTTATTCTCTAATTTAGAACCACACTCTTTGTATAAAGCCAACAACTTGTGCTGGAATGTAATTCCACAAGTAGAAATAAACATTTGTGAAAAACGAGTGTTAATTCAATTCTTTTTAATAAAAGCATTGTTATTGGCAGTACGGAGAATTCGGAGCAAATGCACATAACTAATGTTCAATCATTGAAATGTGGAAAAAAAACCAAGCACTGGATGTTACTTCACTCATCCAAAACTGTTCAAACTGATCAATAACACTTAGGTAATTTTAAAGTCTGAACCAGAAGAAGTTTATAGAGAACAACACAGCTTTGTATTCAGCTACTGAAGCTTATTTAGATTCTTGTTGTTTAAATCTTTACTGGATCAGTATTGTTCCTTCCAACATAAAGTAAGAAGGAAAGATATTAATTGATGATTGCAGCATTCAACACCGTTTACAGTTCTTCAGAGATCAAACGTTTTGACCTGGACAACATCCAGCTTTGGGCTACTAAGAGGCGAGTAATATTCACGCCAGACATGTGGCAGTCAATGACCATTTCCAACATGAGGATTTAACCAGCAGCCCTTCATATCCAATTGCAGTATCATCACTGAATCCCACATTTCCAAATTCCTAGAGGCTCACTAAACTGGATGCCAGATGGTCCATCGAACTATGCGCCAGAAAAGACAACAGCAGAAACAGCCCTACTGACCCTGCAAAGTCCACCTTACTGAACAGAATCACACTATACAGACAATATCCCAGACACCATCATCACCATCCCTGGATATGTGCTGACCCACCGGCATGCAGTTGGGAAGGAATTGCCCTGGGAGTCCTCAACAATGACTCCGGACCCCACAAAATCTCATGCCTTCAGGATAAACAGGGCAAGAATCCCTTCTGATTACCATGTACTGTCCTCCCTCAGCTGAGGAACCAATACTCCTCCATGTTGAGCAACACTCTGTGCTTCAAACCAAGGTGGCAAGGGCGTAAAATGTCCTCTGGGTGGGGGGTTTCAGGGCCCACCATCAACAGTGGCTTGGCAGCAACACTATTGATCGAGCTGGTGGATCCTAACGGACATAACCGAGAGACTGGGTCTACGGCAGGTGGTGAGGGAACCAACAAGAAGGAAAAAAACTAAACTTGGCCTCATCCTTTACCAATGTACCAGCTGCATCACTGCAGAGATGAAGTAGAGATGAAGTCCCACCTTCACATTGAGAATACCCTCCAGTGTGTTGTTTAGCGCTGTGATAGTGCCCATAGGACAAACTTCTAACAGATCTCGCAACTCAAGACTGGGTATCCATGAGGTGGGCTGTCAACAGCAGCAGAATCGTACTCCAGCACAATCTATAACCTCATGGCCGGCATATCCCACACTCAACCATTACCAAACTAATGGATCAACCCTGGTTCAATGGACAGTGCAGGAGGGCATGCCAAGAGCAGCATCACAGACATACCAGAAAGTGAGGTATAAAGCCAGTGAAGCAACCAAACAGGACTATTTGCATATCATGCTGTATAAGCAGAAAGTGACTGACTGAGCTAAGCAATCCCACAACCTGCAGGTCAGATCCAGGCTTTACAATCCTGCCACATCCAGGAATGGTAGTGGGCAATTAAACAACTCACTGGAGGTGGAGGCTCCATAAATACCTCCATCCTCAATGATGGAAGACACCAGCATATCAGTGCAAGAAAATAAGGCTGAAGCATTTGCAGCAATCTTCTGCCAGAAGCGCTGAGTGGATGATCCATCTCAGCCACCTCCAGTCATCCCCAGTATCAAGATACCAGTCTTCAGTCAATTTGATTCACTTCATGCGACATCAAGAAACAGTTGAAGACACTGAATACTCTCAGGGCTAGGGGCCCTTACGCCATTTTGGCAATAGTACTGAAGGCTTGTGCTCCAGAACTTGCTGCTCCCCAAGCCAAGCTCTTCCAGTACAGTTACAACACTGTCATCTACTACTGGCATGTAGAAAATTGCCCAGTTATGTCCTGTACAAAAAGCAGGACAAATGCAACTCAGCAAACTACCAACCCTAACAGTCTACTCTCCATCCTCAGTAAAGTGATGGAAGGTGAAATCAACAGTGCTATCAAGCAGCTCTTGCTCAGCAATAACCTACTCAGCGACACCCAGTTTGGGTTCCATCAGGGCCACTCAGTTCCTGACCTAAATTACAGCTTTCGTTCAAACATGGACAAAAGACCTGAATTCCAGAGGTGAGGTGAAAGTGACAGCCCTTGATATTAAAGCTACATTCAACGAAATGTGGCATCAAGGAGCTGTAGCAAAACTGGAATCAATGGGTATCTGGGGGCAAAAATCTCTGCTGGTTGGAGTCAAAGCTGGCACATAGGAAAAGGTTGTATTATTGCATGTCAGTCGTCTCGGCTCCAGGAAATCCCTGCAGTAGATCCTCAAGGTAGTGTCCTAGGCTCAAACATCTTCAGCTGCTTCATCAAATAACCTTCCCTCTAATGAGTCAGAAGTTAGGATGTTCAAGAATGGCTGCACAATGTTCAAATCTTCAGATACCGAAGCAGTTCATGGTCAAGTGCAACAAGATCCAGGCTTGGGCTGACAAGTGGCAAGTAATATTTGCACCACATAAATGCCAAGCTATGATCATTTCCGACGAGACTATCTAACTACCAACCCTTGATTCAACATTACCATCACTTGAGGATTACCATTGAACAGAAACTCAACTGGACTTGCCATGTAATTACAATGGCTACAACAGCAGATTAGAGGCTAGAAATACTGTGGCATGTAACTCACCTCCTGATTTCCCAAAGCCTGTCCACCATCTACAAGGCACAAATCAGGAGTGTGATGGAATACTCCCCACTTGCCTGGATGGGTGCAGCTCAAACAACACTCAAGAAGCTTGACACCATCCAGGGCAAATCAGCCCACTTCATTAGTACCACATCAAATTTTCACTCCCTTCACCATCGACACTCAGTAGTAGCGGTGTGTACTATCTGCAAAGTGCACTGCAGAAATTCACTGCAAATCCTTAGACTGCAGCTTCCAAATACATAACCACCTCCATCTCAAAGGACAAGGGCAGCAGATGCATGGGAAGACCACCACCTGCAGGTCACCCTCCAAGATACTCACCATCCTGATTTCACTGTGGCTGGGTCAAAATCCTGGAATTCTCTCCCTCAGGGCATTGTGGATCAATCTACAGCACATGGACTTCATTTCAAGAAGGCAGCTCACCACCACCTTCTCAAAGGCAACTAAGGACTGGTAATTAATGCTGGCCAGCCAGCGATGCCCATGTCTCACCAGGGAATTTAAAAAAAAAGAACACTGACCAGGAATTGAATTTGGAACAACGATACAAAAACTCTGTAGCTACAAGAGGAGCTTACAAACAGAGTTCTGTAGTGAGTAATTAACCATTTTATTCCCCAAAGCCTGTGCACCACCTACAAGGCACAGATCACATATAATGGAATACTCTCCACTTTCCTAAATGATTTCAGCTCTAACACTGAAGAAGCTCTACACCAGTTAAGACAGAGATTAGCATCATATCTTAAACTTTCAGTGCTTTCATCATTTGCATATTGGCAGCAGTGTATACTAATCATCAGTTGCCCTTACCAAAGTTCTTTCAACAGCACTTTCTAAACTTCTAACCACTAGAAGAAATATCATTACCAATTGCACATTCCCTTCAAAAGGTAAACGTTATCCTTACTTGCAATTATAATAGTTGTTTCTTCACTGCCAGAGTGTCAAAATCCTGAAAATCTTTTCTAGCAGCACTGTGGGTGTTGCCAGACGACAAATAAAGCAGCAGCTCACCATCACATTCTCAATAAAGCACTAAAGGTTTTCCTGGCCAATGACGACCACATCCTATGAGCTTTTTGAAATTCTCTTATCTATTGGTTTTATCATATTCAATTTCAGTTCCAACCCTTCTAAATACTCCATTCTGGTAATTCAGCTTATTGTACCCCATTTGAGTGTAAAGATATGTTTGAGATGCATAGTTTGAAGTAAAAACTTTGTGATTTATTTTATTCTAGTGTGCTCATGATTAACATTACATGTGGATAATTTTTAAATTGCTGTCCAAAAACCTTGTCAGACTAAGGAAATTACAACAGTCGTAAGGCTGTAAGGCTCATGTACAGATGATATATGAGTACAGACTGGCTTATACACTATGAGGCCACACAATGGTACCAACCAATTTTGTCACATGTAGTGAATTACAGGAATAACAAAAACAAAAAACAATCTAGTTTTGGCCTGCTAGTTGAGACAGGAACACGGCTCACCCATAAATTTCCTGGAATATCACGAGCCTGACCAGGCAAGAAAACCTTCAGCTTGGCATCTTGTCCACAAGACTATGCCAAAATACATTGATATTTCAAGCTCAAACTTCTGACAAAAAAAGAGGGAGGTTGGCTGTCGAACCATGCTTAAGCTTTTTGTGCAACAACTACTGAGTCGGCAACATTTTACCAATATATCTGCTCCTACCTTCTGCCAGGGTATTGGGCAGTTTCAGATAGTTGGCGTCAGGGAATTGATGCTATGAGGCCACGCAATGGGATCACCCAGTCTGTGCTTGTACATCACTAGCTGAGCATTACAGCCTTGTGGCTGTTGTAACCTCCTTAGTCTGGGAGGTTTTCTGATAGTAATGAGGAATAGTCCACATATAATGTTAATCACGAGCATTTTAGAATAAAATGATTCACAGTCGTTGCTTTAAATTTTGTATGCAATGGGCGGCTGGCTTCAGGGATTGGGGCGGGGGGTGCATCGGAGCCCTTAGGGACTTGGGCTGTGTGTGCGCGCGTGTGTCAGCATTATTTTTTTTTTTACAGTTAGCCAGGAATTAAAGGAATTGAAACCTGCTCTAACTTTTCATGGCCTACTTTTGACTCAGTGGGGGATTTTCACAGAGGGTCTCAGATGCCAGGTAATTATCTTTTGGAAATTTATAACATCCTTGGCCATTCAAATAAAGTCAGTTGCATCAAAACTCTTACATGGTCCTAATATGCAACTCCAATCTATGCTTCAGCAACAATTATCTTCCAACGCAAAATCTAGGCCCTTGAGCTGACTTAAAAAGTTTGTGAATATTTTTTCCACCAGGAGTGTATTTCCACATTTAATGAACCTGCATTTTCTCTGTACTCAAAATTCCAATCATGCAAACGTATCTCTGGAACTAGTATCCACAAACACACCAGCAAGTTCAGGACTATGTACCTTATAGGATTTGTGCAGTTTTTTGGTTTTCAAGTCCCATATGTTGACAGCAGAATCCATTCCTCCACTCAGAATCAAATTCATTGTAGAATTCAGTGAGACACAAGTCTGTCCTCTCTTCACAGAACAAAACACAAAAAAAAAAGTCAGAGGTAATGGACATTTAAAAAAGAATTAATAATTAGCATTCATTTTCTGTTCCAAAGAACAGGCAATTTAAAAGTAAATTAAAACAAAAATAAGAATCAGGGTCTAGGTTGGCAGTAAATGGTGAAAGGGAAAACTGCACCAGGCAATCTCAAAACATATTGAGGGATTACAGTTCAAAAAATGAGGAAGTAAACAAGATTAAACAAGAAGGAAACCACAGAACACTGCGGCATAAAAAGGTGTCATCTCGTCCACCATGTCTGTGTCAGCCTTTTGGAAACTACATCCAGTTAATGGCTTTGTATAAATTTTTTCACCCTTTATGAACAGAAGGAATTTTAAAACTGTGTAAATTGCAAAGCAAGTACAGGCTTAAGAAAGTGTTAAAAAATGTTGCAATTGAGATGAGGCAATGCCAACATTTACTCAATTAGATAGGTGACTGAGCAGGAAAAAAACTAAGGCATTTGCTCACATGAACTAAGCTGAGCAGAAATCACTCATAACCCTGCTGTTACTTCTACATAACTCCATTGGGGCTAGACATTACTACATACTGCACAGGTACCCACTCAATATTACACCATGTTGCATTTATAGAACAGGTACATATTACATACATGTTTAAATAAATTATCCAGTTCATATAGTCGACTTTGAGGCACAAAATATATCAATTACTTTCCCAAAATTGATATATTTTTAAAAGAATACTTGATAAATAGATTGGTGAGGAGTATCCAGAGAAGGTGGTAGATATCTCAAAAGAAGGCATGCAAGAAATGCTGTCTCAGTACACGTTCTTAGGAATTCACTGGAACCAGTCAGAGAGTTGAATGCCACACACAAGTACTCTATTTAAAAACTTATTATAAACATATAAATAACAATAGCAAACTTATAAACAGACCCATAGCATGTAAAACATTGGAGGACACAAGAGGGGGAAAAAAATGAAACATGAAGGCAGTAAGACTTACAGCAAATTAGTTTGGCTCTATGTAAAGGGAGATAAGTCGAACAGCTTTTGAATTTCTTGGAAAGGATAATCAATTTGTCAATTTTGTGAAATGGGAAACGACCATTCATTTCCACATTTTTCAGATAGCCAACTGGTTCCTAAGTTCAAAAGGCTTATAAATAGAATGGGGAATGGGATAGATTCTGAAGGTAGATAAAAATTGACGGAAATTCATTGCAGTTCAAGGAGCTGAACAAGCAAGTATTGTAATAATACTTCAATAATTAGTGCTTGGATCATTCTTGCTGGCATTACATAAAATAATTTCAATTGGGTTAAAAGAAATTGCCTGATGTTTATGCACACACAGCAGCTCACCATATCCACAGGATTTCTTGAAACACTTCACAATCAATAGTTTAAACTGCAAATTTTAATTTTAAACTGCGAGCATCATTCTCAAGATGAATGTATCAGGCAATGTACAGTATCATCCCATACAACAGCAAGTTTAATGATTTATATTATTCATTGAGGGATGAATATATCCAGCAAAAACAAACAAAGTTAACTCTTTATTCAACTTAAGCCACCATCATAAGATTTTTCATGCCTGTTTAGGCAGGCCATTGTAACCATGGTAGAGAATGATAAAGGAGGGAAATGATGGGAATGACCTTTCCCTTTTCTGCTCACCACTCTATTGTCCACAACAAGATGCGCATTAAAGAGATTGTTGCAATTTTCATTAACAAACACAAAGCAGATATTCAGGTGTGTTTAAATCAGCAGATAAAGATAAATGTTTGTTCACCTAACACCCCAAAATGTAAACAAAATGAACCTACTGACTCCCTCATGTATAAAGGTACATAGGGGTAAAGATGTATGTTTGAGAATAGCCTACAACTCAGATTAACAGAATACAAGGAGTAAATGATATGCAGGTTGTCTTTTGAGGCGTGCATGGTGTAGGTCTTGGGTGTGTCCCCTCTCATGGCTCCTTGGAGAAGAAAGAAACCTAGACACCTTGCGATTTTCAGATGAGATTATGGACAAGTTTCTTCAGAGGCAAAACTTTTCAGGTGAAAATGAATTAGCCCCCACCTTACAATGCCTAGCTTGATAGGTGTCCAGTGTTTTGGAGAGAGGAATTCTCCCTCTTCTGTTGGCTTCTGGACTACCTTGTCTCTGCCTATTTGTTGGAGTAATAAGGTTTTGTTATCTCAATTTATTTGCAGCCTCTATCCTGAATTGTTTTGAAGTCATTGCCACACTATAAGGAAATGCAATGGCTATTCACACCTACTTATGATGAGCTAGTTTCTGTACAACTCGCTTAAAGTCTTGCACATGGAGATATGAAGCCTGCACTTCAGTTTTGGGTAAGCCCGCAAACAATGGAAAGTAGGATTCCACAAATCTTTTGGTCCGTAGAATCAAGGGTGGGCAGCCCATCCACAATCATTTACATGTAGAACTTTCCAGAAGCACATTCAGATACGAGCGAAACTTTTGTGCAGAAATCACACACAGCCATCTTGGGTTAAGGTCAGTTCCCAAGAAAAGTCATATTGGACTTCAAACATTAACTACTTTCACACCACAGATGCTGGCACCTGCTTCACATACTGAGTTTTTCACCATGTTCTGTTTTTATTTCATACTTTCAGCATCTACAATATTCAGCATTTATTCGGTCAAGACAAATAGTCTATATATCATGTTGCCCTTTCATTTCTAATATTAAACATCCATTCCTTTCATGTTGGTGTAGACTTAGAAACACCAGCATAATAACACCCAAATCAAAAGATGGCATTATAGTTTAATGGTGCAAAAATTACACATGAAAGACTAATGAGGTTTTAACTCATCACATTCTGATTCAATGGAGAGTCTACCAATGATAATGAAAAATTGAATTGAAAAGCATCATACAGGAGTGGGATTTAGCATAACAGTAAAAATGTTAAGTGATCTTTGATAGCACCAAATAGGCAAACAATGTCATGGGCAAATTACAGAAGAAATAGGAGTAAAAAAAAAACACTGACTGTTGAATGTGTTCCATCATTCAGTCATGATCACCGCTGATTTTGGATTTCTACTCAACGTTCCTGCACAGGAAAAGGATACAGCAAAAGTTCTAGGACAACAGTAAGAGCATGCATTTATAAAACAGTCCAACACATTCCAGAGCACCGCAAAATGAAAGGCACTCACTGTCACAAGAGCTGAGTTGTCAATAGATTCGAGTTCTTGAAGGGTGGAAATAAGGACAGCTTCAAGTAGCAACTGCACAGAAGTGTGGAAAGGTGTAAAAATTGGATTTGGAATGACAAGTGAGGTAAATGGTGGAGGAAGATTATAAGGCTAAGATGGAAACTTGTGTAATCAGATAGGTGGTGAACAATCAACTTTTGTTTGAGCAAGACACCAAAGTTTTCTGGAGGGTCTAGGCCCGAAACGTCAGCCTTCCTGCTCCTATGATGTTGCTTGGCCTGCTGTGTTCATCCAGCTCTGCACCTTGTTGTCTCAGATTCTCCAGCATCTGCAGTTCCTACTATCTCTCTCCCCAAGATCTTCTTCTGTTGGGCTATGCAGGAGACAGAGATAATGGCAAGGAAGTCCAATCGGACTTAGTTTTCTAAACTGGTAAATAGGCAGAATTTTTTTTTCCTGCGCATCTTTGATTTTTGAGAGACTGGTTAACATTGCAAATTTCTGTCTCAAAATTTACAATGATGGAAAATGGAGTAAAAGTTTCAACAGTGATTGTTAGAATTAATGTTTAAAAATTTTCATTTTAGACTGTATCCTTAAATTTAGGGTAAATAAAGGTGGTCACGTGACCAATTCTGCAGTCAACTGGACAGTCAGGCTCAGTGGTTTGATTGCTAGTGATAAAAAGGAGAAAGAAGTCAAATTGTTTGAAAGAAAGACTCAATGCTTTACTGAAAGGTTGCATGATATTTACAATTGGAGACAATGACAAGGGTCTCAGAATGTACCATGAAGAAACAAGTCTCCTCAAGTCCCAGAAATGTAAAAGTATTAGGTGAGCTATAAAATATTTAGTTCTAAGCCAAAAGAAAACTAGGATCAAAGATAACAAGGGTGCGGAGCTGGGTGAACACAGCAGGCCAGGCAACATTCGAGGAGCAGGAAAGCTGCCTGGCCTGCTGTGTTCACCCAGCTCCACAGCTTGTTATCTCGGACTCCAGCATCGGCAGTTCCTCCTATCCCTAGGATCAAAGATAGTCAGTTAACAATTCTACCTTGACACTAGGTACGAACAAAAGAGGGCAAAGGGCAGAGGAAGTCATATTTCATATCAGGTTACAGGCTGTGCAGTAAATCAGTAAAAATTGCAGATGGACAGTTGTGAGTGTGATCAGCAGCCTGTAACCTGATCTTGATGGAGTGCTGAAAGTTTATAAAGTAAAGGTGTTTCAGTTTTCGGCACTCAAATGTCTTTTTCTTTTAAAAATCATGAAGTAATTGAGCTAGAGATTACCGTTCCAAGAAAGCTGTCATCTCAATACTAGCTGAGAAGAGGGTGAGACAAAAGGGAAAAAGTAAGTGCCTCATGAGGCTCCAAAACAACGATGTAAAGAAAGATACAGAAGCTTTTGTTAGAAATGTAGATAATTTATTTGGTTCGATAGTGTTGAAACTACACAATGGAGTAGTTGGCTGACTATATTTGCCTTGATCTCGGTCCAATGTTCAATGACCAAACAATAATGTTCTGCAGTCACATTCAGAGATCACGTGTCCTGTCATTAGGCAGGTTTGGTGCTAAATTGAGGCCTTCAAAGTGCGAGCATGGTGAAGTGAATAAAACATTTAATTACTTCATACCCAAAAGGTAGCACATAGTAGACACTTCTTGAATTGAATAATTCATTCAAGCATGACTGGCAAAGTGATCATTTATTGTCCTATTTGCACTTGTGGTGGTAGCGACGAGCAAGCTTCTTGACCAGTACAATCCATCTGTTTTGTCAGTAACAGAAAAAGAATGGCGATATATGCAGTCAGGTCAGCCAGATGGACCTCAGAATAAGAGTTCCTGATTGGACGACATTAACAGCCCAATCAGGGAGCCCTGGCTGACATAAACAGGAGGAATGTCAGACATTCTGTTCACTCTGAGGGAGCAGGATCAGTGTCAAGGGCTCTTCAAGTATAAATAAAAGATGACTTGGGGACAGGATATTAGTCTCTGTGGAGTGGTTTCAGTATAGTTCCAAGCACTGATGACTATATGGCTTGGAGGGGATCTTGCAGATGGTGTGTCCCCGCACATCTGCTGTCCTTGTCCTTCTAAGTAGCAACAGATATGTTGTTAAGAGTCTTAACAAGTTGCTACATCTTGTAAATAATGCACAAATGCAGCTGTGTGCATTGCTGGAGCAAATGAATGTTTATGGTAGACGATGAGATGTCAGTCAAGTGGACTATTTTATCCTGAAAGCTTTTGAGCTTAAAATATTGCTGAAGTTGCATTCAGCTAGCCAGGTGGGAACTATTCCATATAGCTCCAGCACTTGTAGCCACAATATTTAAGTGGTTGGTCTGGTTAAACTGCGGGTCGACGGCAATGCTCAGGATGTTGATGCTGCACGCTTTAGTGATTGAACATTGTAGTATGTGAGGGGAGATGTTTAGAGGTGATCACCACCTGGCACTTGTTTGAGACAAATGTCAATTGCCAGTTGGTCCATGCCTGAATATATTCCAAGTTTAGTTACAAGTAGGGTCTGTTCTACTATCTCGGAAGAATCACAAATGTTATTGAACCTTGTGACAACATCGGGAAACATTCCATCTTCTGCCCTAATAATGGAGGTAAGGTCATTGATGAAGCAACAGTAGCTGCTTAGGACAAGGACACTACCTTGAGGAATTTAGGGGTCTTGTGGCACAATGGCAGTGTCCCTATCCCTGGACTAGGAGCACAGGTTCAAGTCCAATCTACTCAAAAGATGTGTCGTAACATCTGACTAAGTTGATTTAAAAATATCTACATTTTGGAACTTCTTCAGTTATTTTCTGAGACTGAGATAATTAGCTTCCAACAATCAAAGTCATCTTCCTTTATACTAGCCTTGAATCCAACATGGAGAACTTTACTGGTTCCTGCTGACTTCAATTTTGCTTGGCTTGATTCCACACACAGCCTTGATTTCAAGAGTAATTGCATGCATCTTACCTCTAAAATTATTTCTCTATGTTTAAGCCAAGGCTGTAATGGAGGTACGGAGCTGATCCCAGGACCCAAACTCCCAAATTTGCCCATTTGTTTTTGTTTTCATTAACTAATTTACTTAAATTACAGGAATGAAAAAAGGTTACTCGGGCATCAGGGACAGATAATGCAGGCCTTATAATTTTACAAAAAAAAAGTTAAAACTTACAAATGTATACCCTATGCGGGTACAACGGCTCAGCGGTTAGCACTGCAGCCTCACAGCACCAGGGACCCAGGTTTGATTCCAGCCTCGGGCGACTGTCTGCGTAGAGTTTACACATTCTCCCAGTGTCTGCATGGGTTTCCTTCGGGTGCACCTGTTTCCTCCCACAGTCCAAAAGTTGTGCAGCTTTAGATGGATTGGCTATGGTAAATTTCCCCATGTGTCCAGGGATGAGCAAGTTAGGAGAGTTAGCCATGGGAAACATGACATTATGAGGGGGAGGGGGAGGGGGGGGGGGGATCTGGGTGGGATGCTCTTTAGAGGGTCAATGGCCGAATGGTCTCTTTCCGCAATAGAGATACTACGATTCTATTCACTCAGCTCTGTTTACCCATTAGTACTAAATAATGTACTTTATTCTACCTAATCTGATCACCCTCTCCTTTCCAAGTTGTTATTTCATTTGAGATTTTGTTTGCCACTTCAACATTCCATTTTGAAAGTGAAAGAGACTTTACAGATCAATTTCATATTTAAAAATCAATCAAGGGCTTGTTTATAACTCACCAACTGGTATTGGAGAGCAGCTATAACCTACTAGTGGGACTGAAATTGCAGGGATGGGATATTCTTACTTTTGCTTTCCTGGAGCTGTGGAACATTAGCAGATAATAAAAATTAAAAACAAGATGCTGGTTACTGTACCTGTTCTGCAATACTCCAAAGGTGTACCGGCTTGGTTTTACATATGGACACAGAAATCCTATCACCTCCACTGGCAGCACTGACTAGAAACTGATGTTTCATTAGTTAAAGAATAAAAAAGGTCACAAATGCTCAATTATAACATTGGACAACATTTGGTACAAGGATATATGGGTGAACATTAAAAATGCATTATTGAAACAAAGGGTTTTTTTTTGTGGATGGGAGGGGACCCACTTTCTTCATAGTTTTATAACAGCTCAGTATAATCATTTGCAGTTTCTCCCAACTCTGTTTTTGGTTCTGCAGAAACAGAATTTCTGGCACTTGTCACTTGTAGTGTCATGTGAAATACCATACAGAATGTTTACCATGTTTTCTTGTCTACCCGAAAATGAATTAAATGTTTGTTACCAGATTTGTTTACAAACAAATGGTTTCACTCAAATTAACAGTATAATCTGTACAATAATCAAACTGCTCCAAATACAAAGCTTGCAGATTCCTGATGACTACTGATAATAGAAGAACTGAAAATGATACATCAGACCATACATTTTATTGGTTAACATTTTAAAACTAAACTGACTATAACGTGTACATTTAAGATATGTTGGCAACAAGACCTTATCTCATTCTCACATTTGGACTGCTATAATGAAATGATGAATTACCTGAACTCCTCTTGCAAAGCTGTTCCCTCAACGATTCAGGCATTTAAATCAGAAGTCAGTCTGCATGCTCTAATATTTTCAACAATAGTCAGCAATTGAAAACCATTTAGACTGATATCCAGTGCCAGGTTTGCACATTAAGGATCCTCAGTGGAACAATATGATTAGGACTCAAAAAGAAACTTTCACAACATGGTTTCAACCACTGGTCACAAAATCTGCCTATCTGACTAACAGACAACTGGGATCACACCAAGGCTCAATTTTAAACTTGTATTAAGGGAATGCAATTTGTTACCTTGAATCCAATTGCTTCAGCAGTGTGAAATATACAACTTTTTTTTCATCCAATTCCTGGACCAAAACTGCCAGTAGACTGATTAAACACGAGTTGATTCACTTGATTTAGTTCAGTATTTTAAATAGTTGGATATTTCACATTAGGTCACAGCGGTACAAGGTAATTGAATCTTTTAATTTGAAGCTACAATCCAATAAGAATGTGAATTCTGAATTTTGGCTATTTAAAAATGAAGCATAATAAAACATCTCCTGAGGTCTTGCTCATTAAACATTTGAGCACATGATGTACAGTCTGTTCTGCTATAACGCATGTTCGGGCAACTCAAATTGGCTGTAATATGACTGACAAATAGGCTATTTCTAAAATGCAAACTTGTGTTGGCTATAAAGAAGCGGAGAGTGAGGATGTTGAAGAGTTGCTTGAGTCCCACTGTGAAGACCTTTCTACAGCTGATTTACATCAACTTGTCACTGAGGGGGAGGTGGAAGCTAGAGATGAAGATGAAGTTGAAGTCCAGGATGCAGCACCACAAGAGCTTTCCACTTCTGTTTTGTCTTCTAATCGGAGGGAAACCGAGAAGCAGTTGCAGCTCTTGGAGGACAATTACAATGCAGAAAGCAGCAGGGTAGCAGTTTGTGGAATGAGATCTAATTTGGCAGCCGATGAACAGCTTTCTCATGAAAGAAAAAGGGCAAAGCAACAAAAACTGGATGTCTTTTTTAAGCCAACCCCAAGAAATAGTCAGAAGACAATGAACCACAGCCATCCACATCTGGATTAATTACTTTTCGCCCTAACCCTGCAATCACAACTGCACTTGAAGGTGATGACGATGACGACGCCCGTCAGCTCCTGCATTAACAACAGAGCAACCTTAATACCTCCTCCCCATCAATTCATCTTGACATTTTTTCAAAGTAACGTGTTAAATTGACTTCTTTTCCATTTATTCAAACTGTGCTATTGTTCGTGTTAGGCTTTGGAGTGTTAGGCTTTGGAGTGTTAGGCTTTTTGGTTGTCTGCCCCTAACCCTGCTTTTCCCATAGGCCCTTATTATTTCTATAGCGCGATTTTCAATTACACAATATTGCGCAGGAACACAACTATCGCGTTATAGCAGAACCAACTGTATTAAGATGGATAAACCGTGAAACACATTATTCATTGTTAAATAATAACTTACATTTTGTGCCCCTTATAGGGGCACTGTAATGGTTTAGAGAACAGCTCTTAAGCAAATTCTAAATTCAACTGAAAGTCAGTCTGGATTCTTCCCTTAAAATGTGATCTCCATAAAACCATATAGCATTACAGAAGGAACATAGGAGCAGAAGTAAGCCCTTCATCCCATGAAGTCTGCTCTGCCATTAAATGAGATCATGGCTGATCTGATAATCCTCAAATCCACTTTGCCACTTTTACCCCCATAACACTTGATCCCTTTACTGATAAAGTAAAAAAAGTCTCTCAGCCTTGAATGTAATTATTGACCCAGCCTCGACAGCACCTCTGTGGTAACGAATTCCACTCGAGAGAAAAAGTCTTCATCTCGGTCTTAAAGGAGACCCCTTTCTGAAATTATGTTCTTTAGTCCAGACTCTCACACAAGAAGAAACAAGCTTTTCAGTATCTTCCCTATCAAGGTCGCCTCTCATTCTTGGAAAACTCCAAGGTGCACAGGCCCAAACTATTCAATCTCTCCTCCAAAGACAATCCCTCCATGCCTGGGATCAATCAAGTCAACCTGCTCTGGACCACCTCCAATACCAATGTATCTTTCCTCAGACAAAGGGATTAAAATTGATCACTGTATTTCAGGCATGATCTAATTAGTGCTTTTGAAAGTTTTAAGCAAGCTCTCACTATTTTTAAAATCCATTCCCTTTGCCCTTCCTATTACCTGTTGAACCTGGATGCTGCTTTTCTGTGTTTTATGCACAAGGACCCCCAAATACCTCTGCACTGCAAACCTCCGCAGTCTTTCTCAATTTAAATAGTATTCAACTCCTCTCATCTTCCTGTCAATTAGTATGACCTCATATTTCCATCAGCCAAATTTTTGCCCACTCACTTAAGCTGTCCATGTCCCTCTGCAGACGCTTTTGTCATCTGCACCTTCCCATCATTTTTCAGTCATGAATAAACCTGGCTACAGTACCTTCACTTTCCTTAAAGTCATTAATATGTATTGTAAAATGTAGCACTGAACCCTCTGGTACCTCACTAGTTACAGGTTACATCCCAAGAAAGCTTCACTTATCCAAACATGGCCTTCTATTAGTGAGGCGGAACTTTATCAATGCTAATAGAATCCACCCCCCCACCTCACAACACCATGGACCACTTATTAAACAACTGAACATGTCATACTGTATCAAAAGTCTTCTGGAAAACCAAATAATACATTCCTCTTATCTACTAGACACATTACCTCTTCAAAAGAATTCTAATAAATTTGTCAGGCATATTTTCCTCTTCATGGAGCCAGGTCAACTCTGCTTTATTTTATTTTGCATTTCTAAATGTTCTGCTATTAATCCTTTATAGTAGATGCTCACATTTTCCCAATGACAGATGTTAAGCTAAATGGCCTATAGTTACCAGTTTCTGGTTTCCTTCCATTTCTGAATATTGTCAGTTTTTCAATCCTCTGGGAATTCTCCAGAATCTTTAGATTCTTGAAGGTTACTACCAGCATGTGCATTATCTCTGTAGTTCCTTCCATTAATATCCTACGATACATCCCACCAAGTCAATTTTCTCTAAATGATAATTATTATATTTATCTGCTACCCACTGCCACCCACCCCCACCCCCCACCTCTTTTGCTCAGATTATGTAATCATTTTGGAATGGTATTACTGCATTCTATTGTGAAGACTGATGCAAATTACAGTACTCAACTCCTTTGTCACTTTCTGGTTCTCAATTCATATTTGCCCAACTATTCCACCCTCCCCACCCACATTTTTAAGAAGACCTATTATCTGTTTTATATTATTTCTTAGTTTACCCTCAGCTTATTTTCTCTGTATTTTTTAGTTTGGTCATCTTTTGATTGACTGTAAACTTTCCTAGTGGTTCACCATTAAACATTGTTTTTACTTACGCAGTATGGTCCTTAACTTCTTTCGTTAACCATGTTGGTTTATTCCCTTTCTAGAATCTTTCCTCCTCACTGGGATATATTTTTGTTGAGATCCATTAATTATTTTTCGAAACATTCATAGTTTCTCAATTGGTCTTTGATAATAATCTCCTTTCCAAGTCCATTCCAGCCAACTCTGCCCTCCTTTCCTTGCAATTACCCTTATTTAATTTCAGAGTTGTTTGTGACTTACATTTCCCTCATTCAACCAAAGTTCTCAATTCTGCCATGATGTAATCACTACTTCCTCAGAGATTATTCATTTTCAGACCACTTGCCTTATTACCAGATCCAAAATAGCATGATCACTAGTTGGATCCACAATATATTGTTCAAAGGAGCAGCCCTCAATACACTCCATGATTTCTCTCTCATGGCTACCTCTATCAACCTGATTTTCCCCAGTCCACATGAAGATTCAAGTCACCCATGATTAAGGTATTGCTTTTTTCACAAGCCTTCATTGCTTCCTGATTTATACTCTATCCTACCATAAAGCTATGATTAAGGGGCCTACAGTCTACTCCTATAGGTAACTTCTTCTCCTTGTTATTTCTTGACTTTTACCCAAAATGGATTCTATACCTTCCGATCTAAGGTCATTTCTTGCTATCATTCATGTTCCATCCAGTACTGACAAAGCTATCACACCACCCTTTCCTTCTTACCTTTCGAAAAGTCACAAATCCCTAAATATTTCATTCTCAGCTTTGATTGCCTTGTAACTATGCATCCATAATAGCTACAAAATCAGACCGATTACTTGTGCTATGAATTCAATTTTTAATGTATGTTGTATTTGGAACAAAAGAGTAGCTTTTTAAGAAAAAAAATGTCCCTCCTTTGATCCTATTTGCTGTTTTTTTTTAAGTTTATATACGTAATTAATATGGATCTGGTAATGAGGCAGTTTAATAAGTGGTCTGAGACTGAATAATCTCTTAGAAAATAGTAACCTGATGTTAACTG